ATATACGTTACTTGATCGCACAGCCACGCACGTATGAGATTTCTAATCACGTAGCGAAGAACACATCAGTATGAATTATAGGCGAACTGACACGAATATGAACAGCCTACATTCATTAACTTGTGTGTACATAAGAGCTCCTAACTGACTCGGGAAAGAAAAGAAAAAACTTTCTGCTAAATAGACGCCTAGAATAGGTGACGAACTTTCACGTTTGCCTTTCTGATTTCGTCCCGGAACCGAAACTTTGAGCTCGAAATTTTTACTTCGCCTTAATGTGAAGAATTCGTAAGAATGTGCATACAAATTTATATTAATTTGACGGCAACAAGAATCACGAGGCGTATGTTAACTGAAACTTTATTTCATCCGTTGATCTCGGTACTTTACTTCACTCAAATCGGACATGTAACTTTGTTCTACAAGTAGACGTAGGCGTATGTAAAATAGTAGATACATCAGTAGTCGAGGAAATGTTATTTAGATGGAAACAGCGCCGACCTCGCATCGCACTAATTTGTACGTATTACTGCTCGTTTTTCCCTTACCAATTAAAATAATCCTTGCGAATATGCTTAGTGTACGTTTTTATATTGCTGACAAAGTTTGATATGTGGAAAAATATTATTTTCATAACTAAATACACTTTTATCTGTTTTCTACATAAATATCGCAATTTTTTATTACTCGTTGTTTTTAACTTTATCACGCAGCAAAATTTACGAATGAAAGATAAAACTTCTATAAAAATCAATTTCTCCCATTGCATATACATTTATGCTAAAAGCATTATCAATAATTAAATATTACATAATTAAGCATTAAAGATCAATATTTATCCTTGCTTTTGTTTTCATGCAGATGAATTCTGCTTTTATTTTCAAGCCAATATTTTTTAACTTGCAAAGTAATAATAAGCTAATGACAATCCAAGGGCTGCTTAATTTGCAAAGTAATCTCTCTCTCTCTCTCTGCGCTGTATAGTCGGCTTAATATTCAGCGTGTCAAACAACGCGTTACAAAACATATTACGATATCCCTGGCAAGACGATAACATAATCTTTACACAACTCAACTCAAGAAACTCTCATTGCTAACGTAGATGTTCTAGCAAACGTCTACTCACTTTCGGTGAGAATACAAATGTTCATTAAACATGTTCTACCTACAAATACCTCTTTCTGCGATTAAATGACGCTTTGCCAACCATCGTATTTGCCATGTTATTTTTCACTCAGCTGCACGAAAGTTGTACAGAATAAAGATGTACAAAATATAGTTCCTATCGCAATATGAGATAAAAATAATCAGTTTTAACTTCCATTATACATATATGGAAAATACCATGTTCAAGTACTGCATATAAAAACATTTAAATAACAGATGACACACTTTTTGTCAAAAAAATTTTTATTTCTGTCGTAAAAATAGTCATAAAATTTCTGCTAAATATAGCAAAATTTATCAGAATATTTTAACTATAATTTTGTTCTATGTGTATATATTACTGATAGTATAAAATTATTAAATTGATTTTAAGAACGACTGAAAGAATTAACATATATTAAAAAAATTAATGTTTAAATTATGCTACTGACAATTTCCAGTATGTTAAAATGACTTGATTAAAAGACCGCAATAAGTTTAATATTATGGCAAAACGCTGTAACGATGCGTGAAAAACAACTTCGTGGCTTCAATCATATACGCTGTTTCGCTCAAGACGATTAGCGTTGAAAAGATTATCGTCGCCGTTATGTCACACGCGACCTGACAGATCGACTTCTATTTGCGAGAAACATATTTTGCCTGCTTTTCACTTTTTGTTATTCCACTGACAGCTGACGACGAACGAAGTGTGCATTCGAAATCGTCAGTGCAGGAAGCACAGTGGTCTTAACTTTGTACATGATTATCTCATATTAGTCATCTAGAAGTTGCAGTAATCAAGCATTTATCGGCGACTTGATGTGTAATTCATTGCGGTCGTTCGTGCATAAAACAAGGCATTTGATTGCTTAAGAAAAAGCTACAAATTTTGTCAAAGACACGATTAGTACATGGGAGCAAAGTTTATTGAATAATTTATGTAGTTAAAAAACTTCTTACCTTCTATTTTTTAAATAATAACCTTTTTTAAAATTGTGCTTCTAAATTTATGACTAAAAATTTCCAAGAAATCGTTATTTTTAAATAATTGATTGGTTTATGGTAATGTTTTGAATTCATTATTGTTGATATAAAATCGAGTTTCATATTGAATAAAAATGCTATTTTATCGAATAAAATTATCAACAAAATCTAGAAAGCTAACGTCGTTATATTTAATACATTATGTCGTAATTACCATCAATGTCATCTTATTGACAATTTCTAATGATGTTTCCTACCAAGCTATAATTATTGCTAATGGGAGATGTGCAACTTGTTTGTGTTTTTCTTATGCATTTCACTTTCTTGTCCGAACATGTCGACAGATCTAGAAATTGATGTGTGATGGTGTGCGAGTAGACAGCCAAGCAGACTTAGTATAACGGGTAGGACTTCATTGATTCCAATGATTATCCGCCAATCAAGTTCTATATAATCACGTGACGTGCACGATCAGCAATCATTAACTCAGCGTTTTTGCCTTCAACATTCTTCGCATGCACTTTTAGCTGCAGAATTTGATTGTAAACAAAAAAATATTGCTTGTGATATTTTTATTTTTTGACTTAATTTATTATACTGACGTATAAATACTAAGAGAAGTCACGTAAAATTATATCTGGCGAGATAATACATTATGTGAGTGATTTAAATCTTTTTAAACTTTTATAAATTATTCTTCAAATTTTTACACTGTTTAAAACTACTTTAAAGCTGTTTTGCTGTAAAAATTTTGTTCGTAGCTGAATGAATCGTGCTTTTTATTTAGCATTTATTTGCAAACATGCATCTAAAAAACAAACAATGATTTAACGATTAAATACATTAATTAAAACATATATAAAAAATTCGATTATTTAATATCATAAGTATGTCCGTTAGCTATCCCCAATGCAACATTGCGGTGACATCTGAGGTGCCGAATCAAAGTCTTGTAGTATCTACTTTGTTACAGCTAGCCAATATCAGCTGAGTTGCCAACAGTTGGTCTTAATCAACCATCTATACCTAAATTGCATTGTGCTATACAGAAATTAAACTACATATTTACTGAATGTAATATGTTACTAATAATGTTATACAATATAAAATCAATTTCAAAAATTAGCTATTGATAATAAACTATTCGGAAAAAAAATTATTAATAAATTCTTTGAACAGCTAATAACTGATTCTTTTTTCCTTTCAAATACTAATATTTTTTTAAATAAATGTATCTTAAAATTTTATCAAACTGCATCTTTTCTTATGTATTTTATAAAGAAAAGAAAAAGTAAAATAGGAATAGTTTTCAGATTTGTAATGACAAATCAAATACTTGCTCATGAATATATCGTATCATCATTTTCTCATCAAATAAAATGGAACAGTGTAAAGCTTTGACCAAATTATGGAATAACTAATTAATTTAATTAATCGAGACGTTTCGACCTATCGTTCTATATATCGCTACCAACATCGATCGTCGAGGCATTCTAAACAATTTCTACTATCCTGACGAAAAACATTGTGTGCTACGTCGATTAAATGCAAGGTCACTTTTCCAACACGAATCACTCAGTTCCACACAAGCGACTCCGTCGAACGTATTAACAGGAAGTATGGCTCTCCTCATGAGAATTGTCAAGTGTGAGGTATGAAAATATTCGTTGTTGTCGCGCTCGGTACACCGGCTGTTATTTTGCATATCTCTTAAAAATTTGTGCACTGCAATTGCAGCTACAGACTGTATTTAAACGTATTAATGTAGGAAATCGGACCACCTAGTGGATATCCGACAAAGCTGCGAAAACTCCATGTTAGCGGGAAAATCAATTCGCAACTGTTTTACACGCATTTTATTTCGATAAATTTTTCAGTGCGCGTAAATATTCATCATAAAAATCTTAATGGAAGTTTTCTTATCCGCGAAAGAGTCTCGTATATTCAATACAAAGGAAAAGAATGCAAATGGATATCTGTTAATATTTGTTATTCCATTTCATAGTTTGTATAAATATATGAATTATTAATCAATAAATTTCAATGTGAAACGTAAAATGCATTGATAATTACTTATTAATATCTTGAGGGGAAATACTGATTACGATTGCGGTTTTGAAATGAGATAGATTAATCTCTACGCCAGATACTTGTTTATTAATTGACATCACCCATTAAATGTCACTAATAATATGACGTGTAATTATAACATTTATATATACTTGTATTTGTATTTATGTCCTATGACATGATTCGAAAATCGAAGTATAGAATTAATTGTATTAAATATCCACAAAATAATATTTGCAGTAATTTTATCTTTTATATATTTTATATATACGTTTGTTAAATATCATAATTCACAAAAACATCTTCGTGTGTGGTATAGCTAAATTTATTTATCACAGATGTTATCTGTGAACCGACCTAACACGCTTATCAAAAACTCATGATCATACGCAACCCGATAACCCAGAAAAACATGTTGAAATGAACATTATTATTTTATATTTTAATACTTTCTATTGCATTATCAGAAAAAGAATGGGATTGCCATACGGCATACTGCTTTATATTATAGAATATATTTATATAGATATATTATATAGTTTTTTGACTTTTAAAGTAATATTTCATACTAATAATTCAACGCAAAAACAATACTTTAAATAAATTACAAGTTAATTGCAATTAGTAATTATCATTTTTTCTTATTCTCAAGACTACCTGTTGTTTGATTAGTTCAATAATATGTTCCTTTTTTGGTAAATATAACATTAAACAAAATAAATCTAAGTCAATTAAAATAAAAAAAAATTATCAGTTAAAATAAATAAAATATTTCAATTTTTACATTCCCGAAACAGAATATATATGAATAACTTTGACATTCATCAAGTGGCAATTGCGTGACCAATTGACGACTCTCGGGTGACAATGACGTTTGTAAAGGGAGAATAACATTATCAATTTCTTTCGATAGAGGCTCTATAACTTGATGTAATGTGAAATAAACGATAACAAACACTTGTAGTGAATTGTTATCCACTTATCGACTCAAAAGCGGCGCTATCATTCCGCTTATTATTTAAAGGTATTCAAATGTTTCCGATGACGGAGTTTGACTAGCTCATCAATGCATATTGAATGAATTATGTAACAGCTTGCGAATAAAATCGCAAAAAGAACATTTTATGAATTTACGTTCATGAGTAAAATGCAAAACATTTCACATTAAAATGAAATAAAAAAATAAACGATGAATCGACAAATTATCAATATACACTTTAGTGCATATTATCGTCATGCCAAAATTGTTTCAACAGAAATATAATACTTATACAGATTGATAATAAAACATTTCAGGCACGGTTTACGACCAGATCATACAGCAATGCCGCTCCAACAGTCAAAATGTACATCGACGGACAATTTGTAGGTAATTATTGTAATGTCGAGTTTCACTCATTTATATTTCTATCAAATTATTTTTTTTAATTTATGTCAAATGCAATTCATTCTTTTAAAGCTTATCTTTTTACATTTTAAAATATTCTCAAAATAGTAGATTAACTTCTCCATACTTTTATATATTAAAAATTAAAAAACTTTTTCTTCACAAATTGACTATACTTTAACAGCGTGCTGATCGATAAAGTGTAATATCCATGAATGAATTGCATCGCAATCATATCTAGATGCTTGACAGAATATCCATCTTTCTAAATGGATATATAAGATCAATTGGAGATAACATTTTTATGTGTTTCCAAGAAAGACGCACTCTGCGTTATTACAACATAATCTTCCCACATTATTTTTACGCTTTTTATAAAGAAATATATATCCATCCATAAATTATAAAAAGTAAACGTGAAAAAATGTGCACGTCAAAACCTTTATCTTAATGACTTTTTGTATTTAAATAATTCATTATTTTCATATTATTCTCTATATCATTTTCATATTATTTAATATCATTTTCATTATAATAAATACAGTCATCATAATAAATACAGTCCGATCAACACAATATCTTTTGCACAGAATTTAAATTGTTTTAATTCAATGTACATATAAATCATGTCCACTTATAAACCGAAAATTTTTTTGCAGATTCAAAGGCCACAGAGTTCACGGATGTCCACGATCCGGCGACGAATGAATTGCTGTGCCGCACTCCAAAATGTACGAAGGACGAAATGGAAAGTGCGGTACAGAGTGCACGGAAAGCATACGAGAAGTGGCGGCACACCAGTGTACTAACGAGGCAAAATTTAATGCTGAAGTATCAGGCTCTCATCCGCAAACACTCGGTTAGTTTAATACATTTTAAAACTAATATTACACTAATTATTATCGCGTTAACAAAAAAAAATAAAAATATATTATAAATTAGGATTAAGTATAATAATGAATTCTGCACCGGCAAAGTGAAAAAATCCGATAGTTGCGCGGCAGTAGTAACAGTCGGCAATATGCGGACGCCAGCCAATGCGCAGTCTGTTACTACTAGCAATCAACCTTCGATAAATATTTTACATCACAAAAAATATTTTACATTAAAGTTTTATTACGTCTTTTTCATTTATTCATAGAGGGAAATTGCGAAAAATCTCGTGAAAGAAAATGGAAAAACTATAGCCGATGCGGAAGGAGATGTGCTTCGAGGCCTTCGTGAGTGTCACATTAAATTATTGCACGGATTTATGTAAACTGGACAATTCTTTTTTAAATTAAGTAATTTAATACTTGGTATGTCGCCTTTAATGGTTTAGTATCATGGAAATAGCATTATAGAAATAATGATTGCTTAAAATCGTACAAGAATTCAATAATTCTGTAAGAGGCAAAATTTAAGATTTAAAAAATGTTAACGCATCTTAAAGAATTCATTGATTTTACAGTTTCATGAGTATGTTAATATCATTTATATATTGCTGAATATTTTATAAAATTATTAATAGAGAATTAATCAAGATATTTGATAAGCGATATTAAATATCCATATTAATTAATGTTTAAATGGTTTACAATGGCAGAGGTTGTCGACGCCTGCACGTCGATTCCGATGCTCCAAATGGGCGAATCTACGGCCAACATCGCTACAGACATGGATATCGTTTCGTATAAAGTTCCTCTTGGTGTTACCGCATCTATTTGTCCCTTCAACTTCCCTGCCATGATCCCGCTCTGGTCGTTTCCGATATCGGTCGCATGCGGAAACGCCGCAATTTTGAAGCCATCAGAGCGAGTACCAGGTGCGTCCATGATCCTCGCTGATCTCTTCACAAAAGCCGGCGCACCAGCTGGCCTTTTAAACGTTATACACGGTCAGCACGCAGCCGTGGATTTCATTTGCGAGCATCCTGATATCAAAGCAGTTTCCTTCGTCGGTTCTGATCAGGCGGTAAGCGAAGAGAAAATCGAGATTGAAAATAAAATCAAAAGCATGTCTTCATTGTTTTATAGCAAATCAGCTTTTTCTTTCTTGCTTTTATTCTCTACATGATTTTCTTATTGCACACTATTTTTAGATATGTATTTCTTGTGTAAAACTTGCGTACAAATATTTTTAGTTAAAATAAATCTTACATATAATAGAATCAATGAATTCCTTAAATTTGCAGGGAAAGTATATTTACAAGCAGAGCAGTGCGCACGGCAAGAGAGTGCAGTGCAACATGGGTGCTAAGAATCATTGCATCATTTTACCGGATGCGAATAAGAACAAGACACTGTCACAAATCGCCGGGGCGGCTTTCGGCGCCGCCGGACAACGATGCATGGCACTCTCCGTGGCCATCTTCGTGGGCAAATCTAAAGAATGGATACCGGAATTAGTAGAGGCGGCGAAGAGACTACAAGTAAACGCCGGTCATGTGCCCGGCACCGATCTCGGACCTGTTATATCACCACAGGCGAAACAGAGAATCTGTCAATTGATCGAGTCTGGCGTTAAAGACGGCGCGAAATTGCCTCTCGACGGAAGAGGCATCGTTGTGCCCGGCTACGAAAACGGAAACTTTATTGGACCTACAATATTAACTGATGTTAAGGTAAAATTCAGGACGGAGATCTGTGTAAAAATCAATCAAATTTAAACTTTAAGGCATCATAAAAATCAAAAATTAAATAATTCTTCATAGCTGTTCATTTCGAACTTGATAAAAATCTTCATAGAATAAAATTTAGAGCAATGTTGAATTTGAATTCAGCATCCCTATTTTATTTAATTTGTATATATTACAGATTGTTTTATGTGTACGTGTTTTACAGCCTACAATGAAGTGTTACACGGAAGAAATATTTGGGCCGGTCTTGTCGTGCGTGTTCGCCAATACGACCGACGAGGCCATCGACATCATCAATAAAAACCCTTACGGCAACGGCACAGCAGTTTTCACGACAAATGGCGCCACAGCCAGGGCATTCGTGAACAGAATCGAAGCCGGCCAAGTCGGCGTTAATGTTCCCATCCCCGTCCCGTTGCCGATGTTCAGCTTTACCGGCAACAAGGGTTCTTTCCTCGGTGATAACCACTTTTATGGGAAATACGTGAGTACATAGAACTTCGCGTGACTTCATTTTGATAAATCATTTTGATGTAAAAACGATTTTATCGATGTCGTTTCAGGGGGTGAACTTCCACACGCAAACGAAGACGGTAACGCAATTGTGGAGATCTGACGATGCTAGTGATATTGCGTCGTCAACAGCGATGCCTACCATGCAATAAGACTGTAATTAATACTATAATTCTACGACATGTTAAAATATCTTCCATAGTTTTCAAATTTTACAAATAAGATTATGCAAAGGGAGCGAGAATTTCAACCAAGCAGGCTGTCTGCTTGTAAACGATGTCTTCCATTTAATGTCTTCATTAAAAATAAATCTGTTTCTATAAATGCTAAGCTACTGTTATAGTCTGCATAGACTGTATATATTTTTTATAATATAATAAAGTATAGTTCTTCGAAAATATCGATCTGTTATTTGTATCTCAACGATAAAATTTTCATTGCTTTAAATAAAGACGTTACTTATACGTAATTTTCTAAAAGAATCGTTTGTTATTAAATAATTTTGCTTTAAAATAAAACAAGTTTGAAACGAATTTCAAATAAATTTTTAACTAAAATCTCTTTAATGGTAAAATTTGATGTCACTAAGACAAGTTGCATAACAGTAAACGCAATTATTTTTTCTATCGATCAGCCTTCGCTCGCGGTAATAGCCGTAAAGTAATTTGGCGCGCGAGCGGTGCCAGGCGAAAATGTGCCTAAAACTCGATGGCATAAATGTCGAAAGAAGTTCACGGTCGACACCTTCTGATTTGCCCTTGAACCCTTGGCCCCTCGAACCCGTGCGCGGATGTCCGTCTCTCGGCAATGTTCGAACTAACTTCCGGCAATCGGGAGCAGTGTATGCGCCGACGCGCGCACCCCGTCGTCGTCGTCGGGCCGCATCTGCGCATTTTCCAGCTGAGTTTCCCTCACAGGCGAGGTTCTGCCTGTCCCGGATTGTGGTATACGCGCCGACACACTAGACCGGCAGGGAAACTAAGGGAAAATCCTCGTCTATCGTTCACATATCGTGAGTACCTCGATACAACCACAATTCGCGTCGCAATCCTTTTTACCTTCCATTTTCTCTTTCGTTCCGTAGAAATCGGCTTTGTTCAATAGATAGGCAGACGTGTCGCAAGTAATTTATATCTGTTTTCTGTAAAGGGCTATTGACGTTCTATCAAAGTTGTCCGCGGTTAAAGATTCGACGGCGTGCATCGATGTTAGAAATCACGAAAATATCGCGAGCGTCGACTGCCGTCTCTTTCGTTCGCCGGCGCTCAATAATCCTTCGATAATTTTTCTAAACCAACCGTCGGCGTCGACACCGGTTAAACGGGATGTAATTGACCGTCTTGGTTCTAATTTCCGGTGTGTCACATTCATTCATCGGCCGTATATTTCATCGTAACGACGATAGCGTCGGTATCGTGATCGGTATGTTTGTTTTTTATTATCTCATTGCATTAAAAAGTAATATGTAAATTTAAATCTGCTTAAATCGCAGCTTCTGTCAGAAACTTATTATGTAAATCTGTGCTTATATATACATCTGTTTAATCGACGAAGTGATGTTCGTATTTGGATTTATTCTCATCTATCCATAACGAGTAATCGTTAAGTCGAGGGTATTAATCGCAGATATTTTAGTTTTGTCCTGCCACGTCTCCGAACTTGTTGACATGCTTCGGACAATGCAGCTTTTAAATGTCAAGTGCTTTTTGTACACACCAATTGAAACGCTTTCTATTTCCGTCGCGATTTATGTTTTAATTAAACATTGTTTCATGATTGAAGTTTATAAGCGACCTGCTGAGTTTATTGCAAACTCGAGTCTTCGATGACAATAAAATGAAAATAGCAAGTTTAATAATAAAATTTTGAACCTATTTTTATGCATGGATAAACAGTTTTATCTGAAATGTCATTTAATTTCTATACGTAATTGCGCATTCTTTATCAACTATAAAAATTATAAAAATTTCAAGAAATTTATAATAATTTTATAAAATATTTTTATAAAACAATCCAAATAAAAAAATATTAAAATATATATTTTACAAACATTTCATATAATTCACAAATGCTTTTTAATATTTTTTTTTTCCTTATGAAATAAAAGTTTAATGTAGCGATTCGTTGTGCAAGAAAATATTCTTCACGTGGAAAAATATCGCCTTGATGTGTAGCCGATCTTAATTAAAGTTTTTAATATATTCATTAAATTTGTACTGTTTTAAGAAAGTTCCAAACTTGATTCTGATTAAATATTTTTATCTCGCAAACGACTTGCTCGCGAAAAAAAAATCATTTAAATGCTAACGACTCCGACGGAGCATACGAATACTTCGACTACTTCGTCGTCTTTCCTTCGTTTTAAGTACAACAAAATTCTTTTTGACAGCTTGAATAATTATGCACAAAATTAAAATATCTGATGTTAGGTTATATGCGATGATTTAGCAAAAAACTTATTATTTCTTGTTACGTACTTTTATCTATCCCAAGGAAATCTCAATCTCCATTATATCCGCGTGTTTTGTCGCTGATCCTACATGAGACAATAAATGCCAGGAATATCGTTCCTGGAATAGATCCTTGTCTGAATATAAGCGCGAGATAACCAATTAATATTAGTACGAACGTGTCATAAAAATTGATACAGATTATCCATTATTAGAAAAACAGAAATGAAAATGGTAACTTCATTACTAAACTCGCGATATCAAGTTATATTTCACAAAAATAAATTAATAAATTGTAGCGGATAGAATATAATTTATTATACAGTAGAGAACTTTGAATTAATAAAATGATGAATTATAAATAAAATTATTGCTAATTGTTTGATGAAAAATTAATCCCAGATAAACATATTAAGTGTTATGGTTGTTTTATAAATTATCATCTAACAATTTACGAACAGTTTCAGACAAATTGTCCGAAAAAATACGTGATATCGAATGCAATTGCACTTTTAATTTTGCAACAACATTTCGTATAAAATTTACGCTTGATTCAATTGCCATTTCAATGCCGACATACAAATTTAATTTAAACGTTATAAATCGTTCCCTCCGCTGTTCTTCAATTACAACAAAACCGGACATTTGGACCACAGTGCAGAATCCTGCGTTGAATAGCCGCGCTCGTAAAAATAAATACGGAGAGGCGGTTCGGCGGACAGAACCATATATTTCCGGTCGGTTGAGGGATCGCCGCCGTGCATCTCTAACAAGATCTATCCCGACAGGTTGAATAATTATGTACAAAACGGTGCGGAAAGGCGATGCAAGCTTGCAGTACACGATACTGCCACAGACGGATCAGTTCTCGTCCGGCGGATTCCCGCAGACATCCGGTAAACCCCGGCCGAGGATCATCAAGTATACGATGGGCACTGTGATGGTACTGATCATACTGTCTTGCGTGGCCACGCCATTCCTGATGAATCAGAACGATCACAACCTCTTCGCCAGCACGATGCTGGCGATGAGCCGAGTCGAGCCAGTAAGGAACACGTCAAGAAGCCAAACGAAGGACGTTGGTGTGAGTAAGAACAGAGGAAGGATCCCTATTACAACGGTGTCGACGACCGAGGTCACCAGGAGGAAGGACCTCGAGGATACTACAACTTCCTTCAGCGGAATTCTGCGGGAGGAAGAGGAGGAAGCGGTGGTCGACGACGCCACGTTAGCAGGTATTGTTTTATTTGAATTCTAGGAAGAAATGATAACATATGGAAGCGAATAATTGCGAAATATTATATTATGAAAGCAACGCGTGATTTTTGATATTTTAGTCAATAGAAATATCGCTACTTTTGCTTTTCGTTTATTGAAAAATAGTCCGTTTTCATGAAATGCAAACGCATTTTTTATCTTTCCTTGAAATAATATTATATTGCAAAAGAATTTTTTTTTCCTTATCCAAAAATTTCCTCCGTCCTTTTATTCGTTTAAACTAGTTATAAGATTGAAAATAAAATTTAATTTCCTTCTGTTTAAAGTACTACAATAAAATATAAAATAGTTGGGTTTAAAATGGATTTCAGCTTTACATAAATTGAAACGGTAATATGATTCGTTAAGATGCTCGTATATCCATTTTCCAAGCTAGCGATATTGCTGCGGTTAATACGCAGGTATTCGCAGCTGCAAACAATAGCCGTCCAATTAGACGATAAATTGGACTGCAAACATTTCGATTTCACGGATACGAGAAATCAGTTTTTTGATTTCACAATATTACTATTCTATATATTAATATTTCCAAAACATTCTAAACATCGATCGTACATTTCCGTTATATATCTACAGCCCCACCTTTATCAAACACCTCGCAGAATCCGTCTATTGCGCTACCTATTTTCTCTCCTTACAGACATACCAAAAATCACCACGCAAGCGATCACCAGCGTAGAAACGTCGAGCGTCCGTCAAACGACGATTTCCGCTTCACCGCCGACAACAAGCATTTCGGCGTCGTCGACGCAACCAAAGATATCCTCGAGCGATACGACCACAGAAGACACAAAGACAGTGAGCACACCTAAGAAGCCAAAGATGCCGAGGGTGACCCTGAAACTGCGAGAGAACGAAACCATACCACAAATGTACATGAAAGCGGGCATAGCCTCCTACAAGAAGGGCAACATCACCACCAGCGTCCTCGCGCCACGCTTGAGTCTTGAGGGCTTGATATTTAAAACGCCCGAAGGCACGATAAAACCCTGGCCCCAGAAGTGGTTCTTCAGCGATCCCTCAGCCGACTTCCAGTGGAAGGTAAGTGCTCCTATTTCTCGATCAACCGCTCGTACATCCTCGGGGAATTGCGTTCAAGGAGATTCTGAGTGTCCTGCATTTTGATAAAGTGCATCGATCACGCGAATCACCCATGCAAAAATTGTCGAGTCATCCTTGCGCGCGCCTTGATTTTTCCTCCTCTTGAGATTTTCATTCAAGTATCTTTTTCGATAAATTTTTCTTTTTTTTTCTTCGAATATTCAGGGTTCAGTTTTACTTTCATTACTTTCATTATATTCGGATAAGATCTACCGAATGTTGCGAACTCGACATTTTCCTTTGCTTTATATTTCTCATTTATTTAAAGTAAAAATACTGTAGAAATCCGTTATTCTTTAGACAAACATTTCAGTGTTTTGAGATATGTCTAGATGTTACAAGATTTTTTTCGTTTATTCCGACGGTGATTTCAACATTTTTCGTTCTAAAACGCTTCCAGATTTATCAAACGCTCCAAAAACTCGTTCCGTTGCTGCCGTTATTAGACTTTATAAGATTTTATAAGGTAATTTTATCTCCCTGACTGATCTGCAAGATATATTGCATCACTTCCGCATGCATTCTTCTCATATCTTTGAGTCTAGCGGTCGTCTGGCCCTCGACTTGAAATTTTGCGTCCTGCATAAATATTGATCGCGTTGCACCAAAGACATCTAAACTGAAGCACTCTGTCCGATCGATAGGCAGAGCATGTTCGTGAATCTAAAAGCAGACGAGGAATCGCTCGGAGCCTTTATTTTCCCCGTACGCTTCCCGTTGGGACAGCAGACGTATTTTTATTTCTGTCTTGAAGAATTGCAGGACGTGATGTTATATGTAACAATTTCTGCAAGACGTCTTATGACATCGCGCCCTATCGTATTTTTTACAAATATATATATATATATATATATATACATATATATATAATTTTTTCCCCCTTATTGCTCTTTTCGTCTTCCGCAGCGAGAAAATTTTCCGCATAAATGTATTCGCAAAAAAAAGAGAAAGCTGTTTTCTTAAAACATCGACCTCGCTAACCAATCAATATAAAAGCCGCGTGTTCTCTCTTGAAGCCGATAATGCTTACTCGTAGCCGCTGAGATTGCTTGCACTGCATTTAAAGATTTTGCGCCAACCACACGTATCATTAAAAAAAAATATCTAATAGTAAGTCGCGTTAAATATGCTTCAAAATTCGTTGTGCTGATAAAGAAATTTAAATCTGTTTAAGTAAAATTAAATAATTAAAAAAGTTTATTGTAGTAATTTTATCAAAAACCACACAAGTTTTACTCTAATTAAGAAGTCACGTTCTGGAACTAATAAAAATTCACAAACTCAAAAACAACTTTTCTGCTAACAAAAAATTTACCGACAAGAGAAATAGGTTGCTCGCGACGTTTTCGCCGAAATATTTTCACCAAATATTTTCATTGCTCTGCTTTTACTACATATGTACATTCCGAGAACTTTTTAGTACTGTTATATATTTAAGCGGACTTATTGAGCTAACAGCCGCGCGCCGAATAGTCATCTCGCTTTATCCAATTTTCATAAATTGTGCACAACGTAGTAATGCGCTCTACTTTACAACGCGCGCCGCGCTCAGGACGCCTTTTACGGATCGAGTGCTTAATTTACTATAGGATTGAAAATAGCAGCAACGCAGTGTGCACGAGGGATTAATAGGATCTTGAGTACCTGCTAATTCATATATTTACCCGACTTGTCGCGGTAGTTATACGCAAATATATTGGATACAACAGTGCCTGCCAGTCTGCATTTTGCATATTAAGCGGTAACTGGGATAACAGAGAATAGCAACATTTTCCAATGAATATTCATTTCTTAGCGGATAAGGAACAGCATGAATTAAATCGAGATCGTACGAGCGTTATTGTTGAAAACCATAAAAGCATTTTCGAGCTTTTTTATTGAAATGTTCACAGAACTAAAAATAATACTGAAAACTAACACAATAATAAAAAAACACAGTAACAAAAAAATGCTCATAAAAATAAAATATTTTATTGACAAAATAAATAAAATTTATTTTATATATTCGATGTTATTTAGCTGTTATTTATTACCGATATATGCGTTAAAATATATATTGGTTTTTTCCTCTACAATTTATTATATTTAGCAAATCAATAGCAAAATTTATACATCGTGATAGTTGCAATCAAAGTCTAATAGTGTAACACATCATTTTATATTAATATATGTATTTATTTAAGGTTCAAATAACATAACTCGCATCACGAAATATTAAATCGAATTCCGTGAACGACAGATGCAAATAGCTATTTAGAGACTCAATGATATTAAACTGAACGCTATCGTGAATTCCGTACATTATGCGATACACAAATCAGAATTTCAAGCAAGTTATTGTGCGAAAATGCTATTATCGTGCACGTAAAGCCATAGGCTGACGTTTGACCTAATGGCGAATTAGAGCAGTCGCTGCAAAAATCAATTTCAAAGAATGCTTAACAATAATTTAACAATATTTGTGAATATCGTATAAAGAAAATAAAAGGAAATATATGGAAAATTCTATTATAGTAGAAAAAGTAGTTTTCTATTCTCTGGCTTATGAAATATCTAGAAAGCTCAATTCTTTTCACCTAATGGTAAATTATAAAAACCAATGCATAATTGATTCTAAAAGATGTTCAGTTATTCAATAATATTCGTGAATATTGTATAAAGGATAGAAAATAGTTTGAAAAATATCATATGTGTTATAGAGAAAAAGTTATTTTTGAAAAAAATTGAAATGTGTTAAAAAAATGCAATTAAATTCTAAAAGAGAATGACACATGACAATATTTGATTTCACTGTTTTTCTTAAACAGATACAGCTTTTTTTATAATTTTGTTTTAGTTTATATATTTATTATTGTATACTCATTAGTTCAAACTAAAAGAAAATTACTCGGAAATAGTTGAATTAATTAGGCATCTTTTAATGTTAATTGCGCATTAATTGATCTATTCGCAATCATTAAATAAAACATATATTTGGAACAGAAACGGCGTAAACATTGAAAAGAGGGAAATAACACTTTGATACGATTTCACTTTAGTCAAGTAAAAATGTCTCATGCAATGGAAATTTATGGAAATATATGAAAGTATATAAGAAAGAAAATTGCACGTTATTCAATAGTTCGAGCTTATCGCAGCATAAATATCTATCGAATAAGAATGTTACCATGCGACTAACGTCACTTAATCGAATTCACAGGGCTCGACTCAAATGCCGGTAACAATTTACATCGTCCTCGCCGGACTGGCCGCCCTGGCGAGCATCAGCATCGTCTTGATGTTTTATGTGCAACGTAAAGCATCAAGACGTCAACGGCCGAACATCGAGGAGCCGGAAGTCGAAGAGCACGAGGAGGACAAGTCAACCCTATTAGGTGCGGAGAGTCAAGAAACCGAGGAAAAAGAGGAATAATCTTGGCGACGAGCACAACAACGCACAATAGCGCGCGTAAGACTTGCCTATTTTTACAACACACATCAGTTAGGTTTAGGGTCTTCCACGTCGAAGAAACGAAAGTCGAGAACGCGGACGAGGTGCGAGAAGGATTTTTTTACGACTGCAGCCGGCTAACTAGAGAAAATCAACGCACCGACTCTCGCCTGAGTTAAGAACCTGCACGAAATTTGTTTCTCGCGAGGTTGCTCGCTGTGTTGTACACCGCAAATTTATCTTCGCGAATTTTTAAACAAGGGGGGGTTTTTCCGTAAAAGCAAAAACAATCCTTTTTAGCGTTGCGATCTTATTTAGAAGTCCGATTTACATGTTTGTTAATGAATTAGCGATGGACCAGTTAAGTTTGTTGCAACTGTAATATAGCTCGATCAACGGTGTGATTATAATGAGAATAATGAGGGAATCTTGCGATAGTCGAGTCTATCGTAAAAAGAGTTGCGCAAAAGTTCTGTTATTTATTATATAAGCTTGCGATTAGATACGGCTGGTTTTAAAAACCCGCCATGACGGACGCACAATTGTGCCCGAAGACAAACTACACATATGCAGAGGAAAAATATGTACCTCACTGGCAAGTTAAGGAGACCAAAATTTGTAAATCTTTTCAAAAAAGCAGTAACTAGAACGCTTTTACTATTTCTAAAAAAATTTTTTTTTAAATTTATTTGCAGAAGTCGAAAAATCGGGATTCAATGATATTTAAAAGAAGTTGTCTACAAAATTCTGGTTAGTGAAATAACAAATAAAATTTGAGATAATTTTATATAATAATTAGAGATCGCATTCATATACTGCCGAAAGGTAGGTTTTAAAATTAGATAATGATCTGAGGATCTAGAAAAAAAAACAATTTTATGCAAAATATACGCAGCAGTATAGAAAACCGCAAAGCCTTGAAGCTTTTACGCGTCTTAGATTATCAGTAAACAACTTTAGGAGCTGAAAAAGGTCTCCTTAATTCGGCTATTTGTACTTGCTAAACTTTCTATAATGTACACAATATACGTATGTATATGATTATAAGATATTATATATACGTGTGTGTCATCGACTTTTCTAGCGAATCTCGAAAAAGCAACGTGCTTTCTGACTTTCTGACGCCAGTCGAATTCTATCTGCGTACAAAAGTAGCCGTACTGCCAGAGCTACAATGGAGGGCCAGCTTTCCAACCCCGTTTAATTAAAAGTGATGTTTGACGATGTGCTATCAGGTGTATCGTTTAATCGATAACCGTGCGCCGTTCACTTGACGATATCTGTGTCGTACGGAGAAACGTAATACCATATTTTGCAAAATATTTCGGACAGATTGACGATATCGCATCGGAAATACATACGTGACTCATATTAAATTAACTCATTCCATCTGCGCGGTAGCGAAGTTTAATTAGCGATAGCTCCATCAATGTGCCGTTTCACTAATATATGAAATTATTTGCTATGCGGGAACGTAGTCATTTTATATAATTGTCTACTATCCACAAGAAATTAAACAAATCGTATTTTCTCCCAAATCGAGATATATCATATTCATTAGTAACATCATGAGAAGAGTAGAAGAGTCATAAGAGAATTATGTACTTAAAAATATAAGCAAAAGTTTCAAACATGAAAATATTCATTTTACAAGTACTTAATTTAAATATCTCAAAATATACAAATGATCTGATGTTTTGTTTTGCTGGCCTAAAAATAATATAAAATTGTTAATTGCAATGATTTTAATTCTCAATAAAATTATTTGACATTTTATCGTAATTATAGTATGTATATAGTAATATGATATTTTTTATAAGAATCGTGCGTGAATTTTTAAAACAATCATTTTTATTCCTTTTGCAAAATTGAAAATTTTATTAAATTATTATCAAGCGTGATCTAAGATACGCAAAGCGAGAATTAACTATTCAAGCTTTAAATAAGAATGCTCCACTGATTTTAAGAAAATCAGTATTGCTGCTTTATTTCACTCAAAGTCAAACGTACAATATAAAGTTGTGACGATAGTTGCAACGCTTGCACGATAAAGAGCTTGTGCAAACGGATCGGAATCTAGTACATATATATTTATTATGTAACGGCGATAACAAGTTGACCTAACTTTGCAACTTATTTACTCTTCGTAAGATCCATTTCATTAGTAGATAACTTCTACTATGCGCTGTGTGTTTCTCTTTCCAGCTTAACATTCCGTACGATATTTATTTTCTAGTTTCTTCATCTCAAACGAGCTGCTATTTGTAATAATGTGTAACCTACTTATAATAAGTGGCAATATCTTATAACTTGTTATGGCATCTTTAAAGACTCACAGATAAATCATTTTGCATTGTTATAACATCTACGAAAGCTTTACGGTAAATTAAGAAAAAGCGGCTGTTACATCAATAAATAATTAGATATTAAGTCCAGAAGTTATTCATCCTAAGTGAGAGTCTATCTATTTACTCATAAAAATAATCAGCTAAAATACTGAAAACGGGTATAACGATTCCTTGATTTTTGCGTTGAAAATCTACGTCTCGTCGTTGATAAATTAAAAAGTATAAGTTAATAGAAAGTCGAAGCTGAAAAGTGTTATGTGAACAATTGCACTTATAGTTACATTATTACACGGATTTTATGGAATATATCTTCGAATCGAAGATAGAAAATCATACGATCCTACAGTTAAGCGATTTCACCAGAACTCACTTAATTTCGCGCGTATCGCACATGCAGTTCGCACATCATCGTTAAAGTCGAACTCACGTTGTTAAACGATGCTAGTGAATGCTCATATCAATCACAAAGCCACCCAGGGACGCTCATCAGAAACGCAAGTACAATAAACGGTGTATTATCACGATTGTCACGCTCACTTACGTTGCACATACGTTTTTTGTAAAAAAAAAAAAAAAATTTACTACAATATGTAGCTTCAGTCTTGCGTTTAGTTCAAAATAGTAAAATTTTTTAACAAAATGCTAATTTAGAATTTGTAATTGAAAAGCGATTAGAGCAATTTCGATCTTTAATTGTCCTTGCTCGCGAATATATCTCAAAATACATAATATTTCGATATTTACCTCGGTATTTGATAGATTTTATTCATCGATAGAAACCCTCGGTATTTGATAAATTTTATTTATTCATGTAAATATTATCTGCTCATAATAAATATTATATCGATGTTTATAAATGTCGATTGTTTATTTCATGTAAATGTTAGTTGTTTATATTTACAAGTTATATTTATATTACATTGATCTCTAATAATGAAATTTATATTACATTGATCTCTAATAATGAAATCTGTAGCATAATTTGAAACACTGGCTTTTAGTTTCACAATGTTTATCATATTCCTACAAAAATCATTATTTCATCACACAGAATTAAATGTCCACTATATTATTATCACATATATTACAATATAACACGTATTGATGTTATTTATTGTTTTAGGATATGTTAAAATAGAAAGTTTGTTAATGTATAAAATTTTTACTTCATGGAATAACGTGTGATAATTTAAAAACAAGATGTAGTAGTTTGCAGAAATGTTAAAATATTTTTATAAATAATGGATTAAATTTTAAGCGTTCGTATTATTATCGTATCGAATATCGAGGAATTATATTTAATTCAATATGTTAAATTCTGCGTAATAGAACTAAGTTGTAATTATTATTATGTTGCAAATGGATAAGAAAGCAGGGAACGTTTATTTGTACGGGATATTTAAGGGATAGTTAAGGATATATAAAATTCAAACCGTATACTAATTAACCACTCGTGACTTCGTGTATTAAACTTAAACTCTTACGATATATACTGGAACACGACTGCGAAATTTGTTGAAAGCACTTTGGAAGACTCATAATTTGTGAAATTATTTATAAACCACCTAATGGGCAACTAAAGGGAGAAAAATAATCTTACTATAGGATAGAAACAAGAACACTTTTTCTTGTACCAATTTTCTGTCACGTTGTATTTACTTAAATGTGATAGGTCGGTTTTTGAGAAAGTCATTAGAAAACTTATGAGAGATATAACGCTCAAATAATTTTTCGAAATCCTCGCCGTTTCATAAAAATGCACGCAAAAGAAGTAAAAAAATAAATAAACAAAAAAATTATTCGAAAACTAATCGCGCAATTTTTGAGAGACGGATATTTCGAGGACTTCGCACCGATAAACAGCAGTGTGCAAAGGTAGAGCATATATACAAAAAAAAAAAAAATAATGTTCGATGCGTTTTTGAAAGAAATAAAGAACTCATAAGTGACACAATAGCGCTATAGCTGAAGAGAAAGACGGTTATAGTTTCTATTTTGAAGATTATATTTTTTTAACTTTATTAATTTTTGACTTCCACGTATATGTATAAATAAATATTAAAAAATATATATATATACAAATTATAAATATGATGGAACTGTAATGGACTACTGTATATACAGGGTGTCCCAGACTTACCGAATAACCGGTTCAGGGTAAACTCCTGACGTTGTTCTGAGACGAAAGTTCCTTTGGCAAAATGTCGAGGGTATCGTAATTTCGGCGTTATAAAGGGTAAAAAGTTTCCCAATCGATGCGCTGAATTTTCCCGCGCTCAGGGACATCGCACATCAAAGGAGCCCCGTGCATCGCGCAACGATTGACTCGATCGAGCGCGTTCCTCGCGATTGTTCACGCATTCACTGTTCACTGTTTCACAGTACTCCACAGGAAAAGTGGAGTCAGATCCGCCGGAGACCTTGCCGGCCAGTACACGGGCGCACTCCGCGCACGATTTATCTATCCGCGTATCTCGCGTTGAACACGCGACGCGTTTTTGCGTACGTGTGTGGCGAGACTATCGTCGCATCACTTTTCGACACTTTCTTCGCGACATTGACATTCGTATGACCGACAAAAAAGAACAGACTGATCGCTCACCGAATTGCACGAAATCACGACACGCGCGCGGAACTGTCAAGCACTAGCGTGAAGCGTCGTGCGCTCCCGCGATAGAAAATCGATATGAGCACTGCGAGGTATGACCTACCGCGCCTTACGTCAATACGGAGCAATCGATGTGCACTGGCCGGCGAGGTCTCCGGCGGATCTGACTCCATTTTTCTTGTGGAGTACTGTGAAACAGTGAACAGTGAATGCGTGAACAATCGCGAGAAACGCGCTCGATCGAAACAATCGTTGCGCGATGCACGGGGCTCCTTTGATGTGCGATGTCCCTGAGCGCGGAAAAATTCAGCGCATCGATTGGAGAACTTTTGCTCTTCATAACGCCGAAATTACGACACCCTCGACATTTTGCCAAAGGAACTTTCGTCTCAGAACAACGTCAGGAGTCTACCCTGAACCGGTTATTCGGTAAGTCTGGGACACCCTGTATATATACACATATATATTTTAAATTGGACCGTGTAGCGCATACAAGATCACTCATACGCGCGCGAAATGCTGTACTTTAACTACTAATTAAACGATTATAAGAGAATAACAATAATAAATGATTTTTTAAATTATACAAATAAGATAAATCTAGACGACTTTTTACTGTCCGATAAATTATTTATATCAGTTGTATAAAAAATAAAGTAATAAAGAAAATAGAAAATAATCTCCCCTACGGAAGCGCAAACATATTTTTAATTTAACTTCACCAAAACTCAACTAAGTATGATGACAAATTAAATAAGGAAATCAACTCGTGCGCTTCCTCGAATCTCATAAATAATCATTTAACTAGCAATTGAGACGAAGTGAATTAAATGACTACATCTACGCACTTGCAGTTTACAAGATTAAAACTGTATGTTATCAGACACCTGACGATCTATGTTGAATTCGCGTTACACGGTCCGTTTAGCTAGCTTTAGGTAGGCCAAACAATTCTGTGTACATATATTATTGACATTGTATGTCTGTAGGCTCGAAGTGTCTGTTAAGGAAGATGGCAAAAAGCATAAATAATCATTTGACTGGCAGTTGTGAAACCATTACTGTGATAACGGTAACAAGAAGCTTCTCGAAAGAAATACGTGTATGCAACTTTGCAGATTCAAAAATGTTTCTGTTTATAGCGATCAAATAAAATAGAATTTTCCCTAGCGTAATTAATCATCGATCCATTTAAGCTGTACACATTGCTAACCATGTGCGGACTATGATCCTATCAGATGCCTCGATCCTACACGTATGTCTCGACAATCACGATACGGCTTACCGATCGTGGTCCGTTTATCATTGAGAATTGAATTGTTAATTAAAGTTGGGAATGGACTAGCTCACGCCTAATTAGGGCCTATAAGTGTATACAAACAAATAAAACGTTGAGAAACACAATCCCGTAGTGTGTCCACGTCAAATTATAATTTCAGCAACAATTTTATTTTACTCCTACACTTTATCAAGAATTGTTTTATTCCATTTTGTCTTTTACTCTTATTGTTACTTTTATCTTCTTGTAAAATGCTTAATCATTCCAAAGTCCATAATATCAAATGTGTTTATAACCACAAATATGTTTATAATCACAAATAATCACAAATATGTTTATAATATAACGCAGTATCACTACATTATGAAATTAAATACGATATTATGATTCTTGAAAAAACAAATCATAATTATTTTTGAAGAAAATTTATAATAAGCCATTGTTTTAAATACTTTTTTAAGTTATTAATTAAATGTTTATTTTTTAATCATTTTAATAATAATCATAAACTATGTTGTCCCATTTACTTGATAATCTCTCAAATGCTCTGTTTATCCTTAAAATAAGAAAAATTTCAAAAAGATTATCTATATTTTTTATCTTGTCAAATATTTTTTACTTGTCAATTAATTTATATATATCTAATCTTTTGGCAGCTTGATTCTATCTATTTTTATCATGATAATAGAAGTGATCATTGATAGTTTATGACAGTCAAAGTTCTACAAATCATTTAATCCATGTATTCAATTTCAACGTTTCAAAAAATTCTGATATTTATAGTTTTCCCAACACTTTCAATCTCTATTTGCGCATGTTTCTTATTTTCATGTCATCAATCAATCATAAATTGAATTCATGATAGATTTGTTTTTAACTGCTCTATTTGCTCAGTTTCTCCTTTTTCGCTTTAAAGCATGCGTATATTTTCGTCCTACTTTAGATATAAAAAATAGCAAATTAAAAAAAAGACTAACTGTTCACCGATAGTGATAAACTTGTTGTAAAAAACAGTCGCAAAAGCTTGGTGAACGTTACCATCAGGAGATGGCAGCAGTACACCATTCTGTACACCCAGTAATTGTAATATATATTCTGCACCAGCACAAGGCGCATGTTCGACTACCAATCGCCACCTCTATTTCTGTAGACGTTGAGCGCGTGTGCCAGAGAGACTGACTGTTCAGTGCGGCTTAGACTTCAACCGGACGGAGTCTGGCCTACCACGTTCCCGGCAGTGACACAGTAAGTACATGAATTGTTGGCTGAAATCGACTGCGTGTCGCACCTCGATTGACACGTCGTTGGTATCCGGATACCTGATCGACGTGCGAAGTGATGATTCGCAAAAATTGGAGTATAATCTTTCTCAAAGCTCCGAGTGCGGTCCGAGTAACGAACACACAGTGTGTCGTAATGTGCGAATAAGTGTGACGTTCGTTGTTCCACAACGAGGAAAATTCATTTCCCGATATATTACGTGATAAGTTCTTATTTCAAGCTTACTTTTCTGATATCACGTCAATAAACGATACATGATAAAAATATTCTTTTTCCATCTTCTATTCACAATTTTTGTTGTAGATTTAATTTATTACTAATTTAATTTATTAGATAAATTTTAATCTTGAATTAATTAAGATAATTAAGATAAGCAAGTAATATTTCAAGATATTGTGCAAATAATATTATTAATATCAATGATATAATAGTCGAAAAAAATTGGAAAAATATGACAAAAAATCAATATTTTATCGTTGCAGATCATTTTTTTAGTTGGTATTGAAAGTTACTGTAAAATACACGAGTAAAAATGACATTCTAAGAAATTTAAATTTAAATATATACAATATATAATAAATACAAATGGAATAAAATGTTAAATTCATATTATTGATCAAGTCATAAGATACTTATTGTATATATTTTTTGGATTTTATTTTTAATTTATAATTCAATCAATTTCTTTTTATTTACTCTAGCTTCTAGCTTGCTCAATTTTAAGAATCATATATATTTAAAATTATAAAAAACACTTATAAACAAAACAAAAACAATCAATAATGGATTCAAGAACGAAGAGATTTGACTTAAGAGTTTAACAGCTATTAAATACAATAGCAATCTTTGCGAAGCGATCTCTTGAGTATTACATTACTGAGAGTTATGTCATTCAATTATTTGCACAAGTGTTAACAATTTGAATAAGTCATAAAAATTTGTTCATACAGTGTATAACGACAAATCTTTGCGACTGCAACAGCTCGTCATGTTAATACGCGGTCAAAGGTTGCATTCTTCGATATCCACAACTACGTACATCAAAATAATAATCGTAACGTTCTTATCACGAGATACTCTTATAAGAGGAGATAGGAACTGAGATTTTAACATTTGTCAAGGATACATTAACTTCAAAGGATCCACAACATCATGAAAAGAAACACGTGTTATAGCGTGATAGTGGTGTGGTCAGATCGATATGTGGTCAGATCGATATGATTTACATAACCAGTTTCTGATCATATATGGATACGTGATAAAAACTGAAAAAATTCGTCGTACTGATACGACTTTACTATAAAATATATAAGAGAAAAGTAAACAGTAATGATAACGTGTTAAATATAAAATGAATAAAAAGAGAGTATGCTGGAAAATTATACCAATAAGTGTATATAAAAAATTAATTTTAAAAAAAGTTGCACGGTAAACTCGTACGGTAATTATATTAAAGCAGACTATTAAGCATATCTTGACCGACTAATTTCCATCTCACGATGCAAGATTTATTCGCACGCGCAGACGATGCAACTTGCAGGTAGCACGTGCGCGGCGTGTCGCATGTGTTTATGTGAATCACTTGATACTTTTTTATCTCGGTCTTCCGCACAGTTTCCTCTCGCGCAAACATATTTTTCACGAATTTTGTCTTTACGCAATTTAGCCATTATTGCATTGAAAAAAATTAATAAAATAAATAAAAAAAATAATTATTTTATTTAATTACTAATTCTTTCTTTTACTATTTTTTATTTGCATAATCCTCATATATCTCTTATATGTTCGATAACAATATTTTCCGGAACTATCCCACTTATAGTAGATAAAGGCGATAAATCAGTTTTTTCGATAGGTTCTGTGCAAAGGTTTATCACGAAAGATCGATACTCTACATATTGACTCATTCTTATTATAATCGTTTGCTTTTAAGAGTTGCCAAGAAGTTATGCCAATGAACTCGAATGGTCCTCTTTGTAGCACATTCTATTTTTATATTCTGCTCTTGACCATTGCAAATACATTCATCGTATTTCTCTTTACATAATACGATCCGTACACTCAATTAATTTTTAAGTTCATTAACTTATATCGTTAAATTAAGTAAATAAAGTCAAAAACTAGTATTACAGCTCTTGTCGTGTTATTAACTCGTGCAAGCTTGCGATATTATATTAATATTGTTTCTATTTTAATTTCATTTTAGTTGGGTATGAAATTTGTACTATGAAAATGGCTGCATAAAAATGTTAGACTCACGGTGCTGAAGTTCACATTATATATGCAGATAGGCATCAGCTGTTTCTAACGTCACGGCACTACTGCAAATCGATACTCAAAAGTGTATTTCAACTTCAATGTATGCATTTACATGCACGCGATAACAAGTGAATGTCCTCAAATGATGCAATAATGAGCGGATTGTTTCATTCATAAACCTAATTATCGGATACGCCCAAAGATAAAGAACTACCGAATGATTGTCGATTATCATATCCGAATTATATCGATTCGATTATCTGAACATTGTTATCTGAACTTGTAAAATTCTCAAGGATAAAGTTCTGATAAGAGGAATCGATAAAAATAAAAGCATGAAAAATCTCTTCCTATCTACATTTTGTATGTATAAACACAATAGCGTAGAGCATATGAGCGTGTAGACGGCAATTGCTACACATAGAAGCCTTATTTAATTATAGTCTCCAAACCATAAAAGATTGATTGGTAAAAACGAAGCCATAAGTCGCATTTGATTGAACAGTTATCATGCAATTATACTGTACAGGTGTATGTAAAAAATAAATATCAATCAATTTCAGGCAGTTAATAAGTATCAGGCAATTTGATTTTCGGCATTCAAGTCGATCGTTACAATTTGTACTAATTTTTTTTTAAGTCAAAGCAAAAAATAAGATAATTTAAAAAATTCTTTCACTTAGATTAGAAAAATAAAAGTTAAAAAATAAAAAATAAATAAATATAAAATTCAAGTAACATTATAATTATTAACAAATAAAACCTAACTGAAAAAAATACAAATTCAAAAAATAATTGTCTCGTTCACGAATTAAAAAAATTATATATATTAATTAAATTGATAAAAAAATGTACATATAAAAATGTATATTGATATTTTCGTTATGTATCTCCTAATGTTTAACATTCAACCACATTAAATATTAATTAAGCTGCAAGGTCAGCGCGAGTTGCGATACAACAGTCATTACGGACGTGGCGAAATGTAATTTGTGTCAATTGTAGTTTATCCTATAGGAAGGTTCTATTCATAACTCAACTATGATTGTAATGACACCTGACATGCAAATCATTCAATGTACCTCTACCTTGAAAATTTTTGATAATAATTAAAATTTTAAAAAGTTAATAATAATTACTCCAATTTTTATTATATTCTCGAATATATTCTTGTTCTCTAAATACTTCACGCG